AGCCTGGTGCCTGGTGACAAAGCAAGACTGTGTCTCAAAAAAAAAAAAAAAAAAAAAAAGATGGTAAGCCACTTGGAAGATTTGGATTGGGTTTGAATGGAAGAGTCTTTGCTGAAATTATCTGACTTACATTTGAAAGGCTCATGCTGGCTGCTGTCTTGAGAATAGAAAATGGAATTGGAATAGAAGGAGATAGGAAGTGGTAAAAACAGAAGATGGGTAGAGGATACCAGTTAAGAAGTCTCACATTTGCTGATCTGCTGATTTGACATCTGGATGAAATAGAGGAGTCAAGCATGAGTTCAGGATTTTTTTTTAATGTGAATAATGAGAAGGATGAGGCTTTCCATTCACTAAAATTGGGGAAACTATGGAAAGAACATGTTTTTGGAAAAAGAGAATGAGGGCAGATTAGAGCAAGTTAAGTTTGAGAAAGCCAAGTAAAGATGTTGAGTAGCTAGTTGGATATATGCCTCCTGAATACAGGAAAATTATGTGCATTGGATATGTAAATTTGAGAATTTTGTACAGAAAACTGGTAGACCGAATGAAGTCTCAATAAGTTGATCAAAGAAGTGATAGAGAGCCGGGTGCGGTGGCTGATGCCTGTAATCCTAGCACTTTGGAGGCTGAAGCAGGCGGATCACCAGGTCAAGAGATTGAGACCATCCTGACCCACATGGTGAAACGCCATCTCTACAAAAAAAAAGAAAAATAAATACATAAATACGTTAAAAGAAAAAAATTTAAAAAAGAAGTAATAGAGAAGAAAGAATACTGTAGTCATTCAAAATTTGGAAGTGAGAAAGATGAAAAGGAAACAAAAAAGCAGACTGCAAAGAAGTGATGAGAAAGCAGACTGGTGAGTGTGGTGCCCAGGAGGCAAGAGAAGAAAGTATTTCAAAGAGGGTGGAGTTATCACCGTGTCTGCCTTAGTCAATCTGGACTACTATAGACAAAGTGTCATAGTTGGGTAGTTTAAAAACAATGTAAATTTCTTTCTCACAGTTTTGGTGGCTGGAAAGTCCAAGATCAAGGCGGTAACTTATTTGGTGTCTGGTGAGGGCCTGCTTCCTGGTTGCAGAAGGTTGTCTTTCTGTATCCTCACATGGTGGAGAAAGCAATCCAGTTCTCTGGTCTCTTTATAAGGGCACTAATTCCTTTCATGAGGGCTCAGCTCTCATGAGCTAATTACCTCCCAAAGGCCCCAGCTATTATTACCATCACAATGGGGATCTGGAGTTCAACAAACAGATTTTGGAGGGGCAAATTTGTTCCATTGCACTGTAAAGTGTTGGCCCAGAAGGAGATGGCAAAATAACTCTTGGACTTAATAATACGGGGACATTGTGATGTCTGCAAAATCTATTTTAGTAGAGGGTTAGGGCAGCACACCATTTTCCTAATTGATATAATCTTAAATTTCATTCTTGAATGTATCTAAACAGAGAAAGATGAGCTTTTGCTAGCCAGGTCATGTGTTCAGCATCCTATTTTACCAATTTCAGTTACTGTTTCTTATATTCTACTCCTTTCCTCTAATTTTGTTTTCTTCCTATTGAAGTAGATTCCAGCAAATATTTGAGTAATCAACTCAGTGAGTTTATTAGAAATAATCTTCACTCTTGAAATTTCATTTAGCTGCATATAAAACTGTAGGATGATTATTATCTCTCAGCACTTGAAGCACATTACTCCATTGTCCATCTTCTTCAGCATCTAATATATTGCTCATGGAAAGTCTACAGTCAATCAAATTAAAGTATTACTTCTGTGTGGCTAATTCAGCTTTTGTCTTTATCTTCTAGGTGCTTTTTTACAATTTTGTGTATAAGTGTAGATTTATTTTGATTTTTATTCATCCTACTCAGCATGTGGTACACTCCTTTATGTGAGGCTTTTTTCTGTTTTATTTTCTTCCAGTTCTAGGGAGTTTTTGGCCAATTTTCTTTAAAATATTATGACTTTCCTGGGCCGGGTGCAGTGGCTCACGCCCATAATCCCAGCACTTTGGGAGGCCAAGATGGGCGGATCACCTGAGGTTGGGAGTTTGAGACCAGCCTGACCAGCATGGTGAAACCCCGTCTCTACTAAAACTGCAAAAAAAAAAAAATTAGGTGGGCATGGTGGTGCATGTCTGTAATCCCAGCTACTGGGGAGGCCGAGGCAGGCGAATTGCTGGAACCTGGCAGGCAGAGGTTGCAGTGAGCCAAGATCATGCCATTATGATACAGTGAAACTCTGTCTTTAAAAAAATAAAATAAAAATTATGAATTTCCTGACAATCTGTTATTTCTCCCCTTATGAAGAAAAGCTTGTTGGGTGTACATTAGAGCCTTTCAGTGTTACTAGTCTGCTTATCTCAATGCTCTTTTCCTGTTTTAGCTTTTTATCGTTCTTTGTTGAATTCTGAGTATATTCCTTGGCACCATCTTTGGGATTCTTTTGGAAAGAGATGAGTATGTGTAAATCTTTAAATAGCTATGTGTGTTTTTTACATTTCCATTATGTCTTTTCTTATTTCATATTTGTCAATTTTTGTTTTATAATTTATTTGATTTTATTGTTTATTTTTAATTGACAATAATTATACATATTCCTGGGGTACATAATGATGTTCCAGGAAATAAAATGTATAGTGATAAGGTGAGGGTAATTAGCATATTCATCATCTCAAACATTTATCATTTCTCTGTGTTGGGAATTTTCAATGTCCTCCTTCCACTGTTTGAAACTAGGTATTATTGTTAACTTTAGTCATCCTATAGTGATGTAGAACACTAGGACTTATTCCTCCTATCTAACTGCCATTTTATATCCCTTAAAAAATTTCTCCATATCTCTCCCTTACGCCCACCTTTCCCAGCCTCTAGTATGCTGTGTCCTTCTTTTTACTTCTATGAAATCACTGCTTTTTAAACTTCTACATGTGAGTGAGAATGTATGGTGTTTAACTTTCTGCTCCTGGCTTAATTCACTTAATATAATGTCTTCCTGCTACATCCATGTTGCTGTGAATGTCAGGATTTCATTCTTTTTAATGGCTAAATAGTATTCCATGGTGTATATATACCGCATTTTCTTTATTCAATAATCTGTTTTTGGACACCTTGGTTGATTCTATATCATGGCTATTGTGAATAGTGCTGCAGTAAACATGGAGGTGCAAGTATTCAAACGGCATCCAAATTGGAAAACAGGAAGTCAGATATGTTTTATAATTTCTTGTTCTACCATTTAAATTGTATTCTTTATCACATTGTTTATCTTAAATATATGTTTGTTAAACTAATTTTAGGTGATTCTGTTAATTAGCACTTGATCAGGAATATACTCATCTCCTAATTGCTGAGTTGGTTATCTGTTTTCTGGTGTTAATACAGATTTTTGCTTTCAGGTAACACATTGAATTAGAGATGTATTTCTTACTGTCACTTACTCTTCATAATGTAATGCATTTCATTTGTTTCCACTAATCCTTCAAGATTTTAGTCATGAAGCAGCTCTTTTATCAGTATCTCGGGATTCCCTTCCATCTGGCAGTGGTTTTGGAAAATTCCCTGACCCAGTCACTGCACAAATAAGCTGGTTGACTGAAGTCTAATCTGGATGGCTTTCTCTGCATCCTACCCTTTCTTTAGCTAGGCATTGCTGAATAGTAGAGATTATTTTTTTCAGTATCTTTTTATGAATGGCACAACCACAGCCCCTGATTTTATGCAGGCAACCTGGAACTGGTCTCCCACTCCTCCTAGGGGAGCATCTGACACCTCACTGGAGTGTGGGACCTTTGCCCCTTTCTGTTTCAATACCTGAATTGCAGAATGACTGTGGCTTTAGACTCCATTTACCTACCACTGTGGTATTCTGTTCTGTTTCTGGTCAAAATATATGTTTATCTAGTTTTCAAGAACATAGTATTTTTTAAGCGTTTATCTTTGTATTCAGAACTGAAAATAACATTTTTTAAAAAATGAGCTTATAATGCCAAAATAACCTGAAGCACTTTATAGCTTTAATAAGTACTGCTCTCGGCCACACATTTGACAATATATGTGTATGATTTATATACATTGAATTTTTATGAAAAACATTCAATAGATTGCATTCCTTTGCTAAGAGTTCATGCTAAATGTGATATTATTCTAACACAAAACTTTTTATTTTAATACTCAACACAGTCTTAGATCGGATTGGTCCTATAAATAGGTGGCAACTCATTTGGCCTTATTTGTAAGATCACAGAACATTCTTTATCCTAATATTTATTTTATCTGCCATGATATATAAATTCCACCAGAGTAATTCTCTTGAATTTGATGACTTTTTATTTTCCCCCAAGTCTTCATGAAATAAAAATAAATGTGAGGGATGGAGGAAGAGAAGCTGGTGTCTCTGCAACACTGACACCTAACAGAAAATAAGGCCCTTTGGTAATGTTATTAAGATCAGGCCCCTGGAGGATGAGTCAAAAGTGCCAAAAAGGATATTGAGTGTTTCAAAGAAAGTGAGAGGGCGCCCAAAAATAAACTTGATATTCCTCTTAATCTTATTTAGTTAGAAACCATGCAACAATCATTTATAAAGCTCAATTTACCTTACTGTAAACATTAGTGGAAAAATGACTTACATGTACCTATCTCTATCATCACTGAATGGTGTTCATAAAAAAGGCAGATTTAATCATGGTTGAGTAAAGAAGGAAGTTAAAAATAAGTTTTCAAACGTTATCATATTTACTTTACCAACAATTTTGATTATGTGGCAACTTTATTTCTATAATTGTATGCAGCAGATCATGGTAGACATTCCTCCCCAAAGCTTTTAGTGTATTCTTCTGAAAAGTTTTCCTGAGAATTTTCAGTTGACTTCTCAAGCTTCCTTGTTTTACCTTTTCTTAAATTATCTCCCTCCTTCTTTAGTGAAATGAGCCTTCCTTCAGCATAGGCAACTTATTCTTACTGCTTTCTTCATACTCAATGTTTTTTTCTCTCTTTCAGCCAACTGGGTCCTGAAGTAGCTGAAATGAGAAAAAGGCAGCAGTCCCAAAATGAAGGAACACCTGCTGTGTCTCAAGCGCCTGGAAACCAGAGGCCTAACAACACCTGTTGCTTCTGTTGGTGCTGTTGTTGCAGCTGCTCCTGGTATGTCATGTTACCTATAGGATGCCACACCCAGGCTTGGCAGACACTAGTGTGAACATGCATGCCAAATCTCAGAGCTGTAGAAACTTCTCAACATGTCTTTTTTTGTTCTTTCTTTGCAAGTAGGACTTACTGAAGACTATCATTGGTTTAATGCAAACACTTCACAAACAAAAATATATAATATTTCCCCAAAATCTACATTTAAATTGATCATGGGTAAAAAAATGAAGAAGTGTTTTAGGTCATGTTTTTCTCCATCCATGCTTCTTAAAGATGTGGGTAAAAATAAGATTTTAGTTATATATGTATTTATCAATAAGCAATATTCTCCAATGTTACAGATAGTTAAAAACATTAATAAAAAACATTAGTAATATTGCATGTAGTATTGAATGTGGGCTTTTTTTTTTTTTAGTTATCTGCTGTTACTTGATAGAGTGTTGAGCATACAGCTGCATGACCAGATAACTGTAAGTCAGGGTGGCAACCTCTGCCCAGAATTCTTGCCAATAAAGAGAGAGAGAGGAAAAGGTCACAGACTCACAATCACCTATCGAAAAGGTCAGTGGCTGTGCTTGGAATGAAGGCCAACTCCGTCCATTGAAAAATCCTGAAATTAAAGCCAGAGAACATACTTCCATTGGAGTGTTATCACTGGCAGGCTCTGGGACATCATGCAAACTCATTATAATCTCTTTGTTCTTTGATTTCCTCATTGGCAAAATGATGAAGAATTAAAGAAGCCAGTCCCCAAGGTGCCATCTAGTACTAAACCTCCATGATCCAGGGAACTCAGAGAACCTGCTTGAGTTCCAAATTCACAAAGTGCCTAACATTTATGCAGATGAGATTCTTCAAGGGGATGCTAGACTTTATGGAACTTCCTTTGAACCATACATTTTCAGGTCTTTTAAAATCCAGATAAGAAGTGGGTCTTCTAGCCCAGCAGTGAGTGATCTTCTGGGTCACCCCAGCCTAATTCAGAACCTAAAGAAAGGCCCATATGTGTGAGTCATCTCTCTGTGTTTTATGTCTACATTTCCCCAACATATATTGAGGTTTCTTTTTTGATACAGTGGCAAAATGTTATATCATTGTGGCCAAAATAGAAGGTAAAAAGAGCTGTGCTAGAGTGGTACCCTTGGTGATGGAGAAGCTCCATCCACTCTAGAAAACTCCAGTTCCAGAAAACCATCAGATATTGCAGTAATCTGGAAAGCTTAAGTACTTTTTATAAATATTAATATTTCTTCCCAGATGATGATTCTTTGTTAGAGAAAGTCATACTGTATTAGTCTGTTTTCATACTGCTATAAAGAAGTACCTGAGACTGGGTAATTTATAAAGAAAAAGAGTTTTAATGGGCTTACAGTTCCACAGGGCTGGGGAGGCCTCACAATCATGTCAGAACGCAAAGGAGGAGCAAAGGCACATCTTACATGGTGGAAGGCAAGAGTGTGTGTGGAGTGGAACTGCCCTTTATAAAACCATCAGATCTCATGAGATTTATTCACTGTCACGAGAACAGCATGGGAAAAAAAAAATCCCCACGATTCAGTTACTCCCCACCATGTCCCTCCCAAGACACATGGGGATTATGAGAGCTATAATTCAAGATGAGATTTGGGTGAGGACACAGCCAAACCATATCACATACATAATTTGTTTTCTTATACTCTTAAGCCTTAATAATTTAAGATGGAGGAAACAGAGTTTGAGATGAAGTAAATATTTCAATCATAGTTGTGTAATCTTTTTCTGTATCATGCCTTAAGAGATTATCTAGCTCAGATCTTAATCCATGAAGTACCATGTAGTGACTTACTATAGTGATTCTGAAGTCAGATTGTCCGGGTTCAAATCTTGTCCTCACCCATCTTTATCTGTGTGACTTCAGCAAGTTAGGTAAATGCTGATAATAAAAATCCCTGCCTCATAAGATTGTTGTAAAATTAACTGAGATAAAATATATAACAAGCTGAGAACAGTGTCTGACATATAGTAAGCGTTTAATAAGAGTTAGCTCTCTGGGCTATGGGGTACTTCATATTGGAAAAATAAGATCACTTTAAAGAGGAACTGACTTTAAATAATGTTTAAAAAAAGATGTTTGTAGCTATAACACAAAAATTATCTTGGAAAAGAAAGCCATTTTATTTTAAATTCTGTATAAAACATCACCAATATATTGTTACACAGGGTTGAGGAATATATTTCTTGTGCTCATTTGCACTATACAAGGTTCCTGTAATCAGTAAAGGGTTTTCTTTAGCTGCCAAAACTTATTGCTGAACTGCTTTTGGATTGAAACACCAGAACAGATAGAATACTGATACTATATGTATTAGCTGCCATATAGGTATTTAGTGAGTTTTGCTTTTATCAATTTTTAAATGATATATAAAATAACAAAACATTTAACATGGGCACATAAGCATGAGATTGTTGCAGTACACAGACAGTGGATGGAGAGCAAAACAGCTTTTAGAAGCTGCATCCACTCTCTACACCTCTAGAGTGGATCCCCAAACACTAGGTACATTGGGTGCATTGGCTGCATTGGCTGCATGCTCTGTTAGCTCTAGACTAGCACACTCTTGTCAGGAACTGCATTTGTTATCAATGAACATTGGATGCCTGAGTCTAGGCCATAAGATGTACAGTCTATAAATTTACAAGTCCTTCTATATATGATAAATGGTAGATAATTTATAATTATTATAAACCACTTTATTTTTATTTATTTACTTATTTATTTATTTATATCTGAGACAAAATCTGCTCTGTCACCCAGGCTTGATTGCAGTGGCACAGTCACCGCTCACTTCAAGCTCTAACTCCTGGGTTAAAGTGATCCTCTCTCCTCAGCCTCCCCAGTACTGGGACTACAGGTGCATGCCACCCCACCTGGCTAATTTTTTTTTTTTTTTTTTTTTAGTGGAGTCTTGGTATGTTGTTCAGGCTGGTCCTGAACTCCTGGGCTCAAGCAATCCTCATGCCTCAGCCTCTCAAAGTGCTGGGATTACAGGCATGAGCCACTGTGCCTGGCCACTGAATTTTTTAAGAAGGATAAAAGTTAATGTTCCTTAAACTATTAATTTTAATTATGATTACATTGTCTTATTGCAAATGAAAATGTCCTTCACCCATATGTTTTTAAAATATCATTATTTTTGTACATCAAGTTTAGAAAAAAAAATGTAAAGGCTTTTTGGAGTGAAAATAAAAAGAAATAAATGTCCTTCAGATTTTCCAGGCTAGGTCAAAGGGGCAGAACAAAAAGAAACACTAAAATTGTAATTTAAGGACTAAAAAAAAGTTAGAAATCAAAATATGAAGTAACTGTCATTCGTGAATGGGAGCAGTTGTCATGTGGCTGAATTTACTTCCTTTTAAGGAAATAGAGTGGTAGGAAAATAAATTTCTCTATCTGGTAATAAATACCTCATCCTAGCTTCATGTTATGGGTTTTATAAATCATGTAATATTTCCCTCAAATTTGCACTTCTAATTCATATTTCATTGTCAGCTCTTCTCTCATTTTTAAATTGATTCCTGTCTTTATAACATTACCACCACATTTTTGGGGGGAAGGACACAGAGGGTGAGTACATAACTGCTGAATGTTTCCACAGTTTCTTTCAAAATTCTAAACTGTTTAGAAGACTTCATAGTGACTTAAGCTGATCCATTCTCTAGCTCTGTCATAGAGGCACTTTCTCCCCAACATCAGCCTCTCTCCTTATCTCCCTTTTCTCCTCATAGCCCTTGCAATAAAAGAAGATAACACAGGAGGATGAGGTTTAGAATCATTAATAGCCTTAAATACACAAGCAATGGATGCCCAAATCCAGAGCATAAAATGGGCAATCTATAAACGTGCAAGACCTTCTATTCATGGTCAAACAGCTTTTGGAAGCTGCATCAACTCTCTACACCTCTAGAGTGTATGGGGAAAAAAAATCTCATGATTAAATTACCTCCTACCACGTCCCTCCCATGGCACATGAGGATTAAGCTAGGGTGAAGAGACCATTTTGTCAAGACTATTTGTCTACAGGTTCAAGGTTGACAGTGTCAAGTGGAATGTCTTGCTTCTTCAGATAGCAACTTTCTTCCCTTTTCTTTCTTTTTTTTTGAGATGGAGTTTCGCTCTTGTTACCTAGGCTGGGGTGCAATGGCACGATCTTGACTCACTGTTACCTCCGCCTCCTGGGTTCAAGCAATTCTCCTGCTTCAGCCTCCCGAGTAGCTGGGACTACAGTTGAGCACCAGCATGCCCAGCTAATTTTTGTATTTTTAGTAGAGACGGGGCTTTACCTTGTTGACCAGGATGGTCTCGATCTCTTGACCTCATGATCCACCCGCCTTGGCCTCCGAAAGTGCTGGGATTATAGGAGGCATGAGTAACCACACCTAGCCCTTCCCTTTTCTTTACAAGAAAGAAATCTTTGAAAGATACTGAAGGTTTCTCTCAAACTGCCTTCAGTCAGGACAGCATGAAGCAGTGAGGTTGTTCAGATACTCACATGTGAGATAACACATATAAAAGTGCAGTGCAGATTAGAAACTGCTCTGTGCTTAAAAAAAAGGAGGAGCATCAAAATGGCCATAGGAAAGGTAGAGCTTTCAAATTTTATTTTGAGCTTAAAGCTCATTTTCAAATTATCCTATGAACTCTTATAACATCATTCAGAGGCTACATTAAAATAACCCAGGTTACTTTTTCACATAGAATTTTCAGGTACTAATTAATCCCTCTTTTAATACTGGATGCTTCTGTGGGTATCCCATCAAGCAAAACAGGGTTCTCTGTGTGTTTTGCCTTAAAAAATTAGAACTCCCCAGCCAGGCACAGTGGCTCATGCCTATAATCCCAGGACTTTGGGAGGCTGAGCAGGTGGATCATGAGGTCAGGAGTTCAAGACCATCCTGGCCAATTTCACTCTGTCTCTACTAAAAATACAAAAAATTAGTTGTGTGTGGTGGTACACACC